AAAAAGAGAAAACTGTGTATCAATCTTGTTGGCAAATATTACAAACTGACTATATATATATCAGCATTTATTTAAATACTAAATCCAAAGCACAATTTAACTACTAAATTTAAATTATCAGTTAACTCAATTTCTGACCATTTAAAATTCTAATACGTTACAGCAATAAATATTGGTTTATTTTATCAGAGGTAGAAATATTTTATGTTAATTAGTCACAGATAGAAAGAAATATTTTATACAAGATTTTTTGAGTTAACTGGTCACAGATAAGAGTGTTCTGTATGAGATGTTTTACATTATCTAGTCACAAATATACATATTTTATATGGGATGTTTTATGTTAACCAGTCACAGGTGAGAGTGCTATAGTTTTACGTCAACTAGCCTCAGGTAGAAATGTTTTATACGAGATGTTTCACGTTAACTAGTCACAGATAGAAATGTTTTATACAAGACGTTTTACGTTAACTAGTCACAGATAGAAATGTTTTATACAAGACGTTTTACGTTAACTAGTCACAGATAGAAATGTTTTATACAAGACGTTTTACGTTAACTAGTCACAGATATGAATATTTTATATGATATGATTTACGTTAACTAGCAACTGATAGAAATGTTTTATATGAGACTAGCGTATAGCCCATCAAAAATGACGGGGCAAGTACTACCACCCCCACCCCATAGAATACCCTAACCTCACATTTCATAGCTAGCTGAAATAAATAAATTTTGCAAAATCAAGCTTAACAACAAAGAGGAGGAAAAGTGCATTCGAGGCAGTCAAACGTCGGTAAATTCTTTTGTGAACCAATCAAAATTAAGATCATTCGTGAAATGAATTCGTGGCATATTCATAGAATAATTTTTGGTACAAATCAGTTACATTAACAACTTCTAATATATAGAGAAGCCAGTGCGTTTTGGTAACACTACATTCCAGCAATGGCTTTTATGTCATGTTGCTTAGCAACAAAAGTTTAGCCTAATATTGTTGTTAGCTTATGTACCAAAAGTATAAAATGAAATGTATAGACAACAAAACTGAAAAAAAATGTTTATTGATTTCTTAATTTATAGTCTCTGTTGAATATAGAGGTTTGTTTTTATTTAAAACGTTGTTGATATAAAATAAAATAGCTTAATTCAGAAACGATTTATATTTAAAATTGAATCGATATTTTTGCTTTCATGATAAATTTTATGCACTTGGCTCTAGGCTAGGTGAT